GAAATCGAAAACTACTTGATGGCACATAATCAATCAAACTGCAGCAATCCATTAGACTAGTTTTTCATTTATTCTAATGGAAGAACAGAAAGCATAATTCATATGTCCACTGAATTTTTAAAAATATAGTATATAGGTAGTGTGAAAGCTGACTCTTTCTCAACAGCCTAGTCGTTGGATATAATGGGAACCTAAAGAGAGATCATAGGTTACATTAGCAGTCTAAATTGGTTAAAACTGTCCCTTTGGAACCCTTAATTTTTTAGAAGTCTTGTTTTTTACAAGATTTCTAAGAAACTAAAACCCCCTTGATTCCTTAGATGAAGTTATAATAATTACCATCTCCTAATTCCAAGATAATTATTTGTAGTATGTATCTGCTTTAATGCAATCATTCTTATATTTATGGAACACTATCGTGGTTACTCACAAAGAGTTCTTCTCTGTAGCTCTCTCACTAGCTCTTTGGAATTCTCTCCCTGCTGAAATCTTTGAAGTGCCTACTCTTATGTTCTTTAGGCATCTAATAAAGACCCATCTCTTCATCAAAGTCTTCCTCATGTGACTGTTATATAGGCCTGCTTTTGTTTTTCTTTCCCTTCTGCACCCCCCTCCTTTTTTTTTAAAAAAAAAAGCCAGGATTTTATGAATCTTGCAGTTTATTGTATTTCGGTAATTTTAATTTTCATTCATAAACCAGTTTGGGAAATGGTATAGAAATATTTAATAACATCATTTTCAGAAGCTGAAAAATTGTTTTTAAAGAACCACTTGAGGCTATGGAGCTTTCACTACTTAAAAAAAATCCTCCTAAAAACTCATCTTTGCAGAACTGTGACAAAACTGCTCACCTACCAGTATCTTTTACATATTTAAGATCACTATCTTGGATTTTTTCTGCATTCAAGTGCTAAGGTTAATGGGCATATTTCTGTGCCACCACTATGCTCCCATCCAAATCAATTCTATGCTGGAGCATATATCATACAGCACACTACTACCAGAGAAATAAGATTGCCTGTTGAGACCTGTCAAGTGTGCACTCATATTTTGCCATGTTAAATATGGAAGAGCCGAAGTTGCTTTTGTCCTCAACTGTTGAAGCACAGAGCACTCAGACTGTGTTCATGGCTCATACATTCTTCAATTTTGGAATCAACCTATTATGATAATACTGATCAATTTTGATAATTTTTGATAACCAGCAAGTTTTATAGATGACATTGTTTTGAAGACATGGGTAAGCAAGTAGACTATAGCAGTAAGAGTTAACCCATTTGAATGATGAGTCTGAAGAAAACCAGGCCAGGTGGCCCAAGGTGGGGAGGGCTACAAGAAAGGCTGAAATGCTCCTGCAAAAATGTTGATCAGCTGACGCTTCTCTTGTAATTGTAATAAAGACTTGGGCAGTCAGTAATTAAAATGACTTACACACTGGGCTGGTTTCAAACTCAAATCTTCGGCTGAAGCCACCATACCCTGCTGCGGTGCGAGCTCGAATCTGGAAGACATATGCTGAAGCGGGTTTCAAGCCATCTGCTGTAATTCTTGTCTGCTTGGATTTGATGATGGTATAACTGGTCTCCTGATCCTTTTTGGTGCATTAACATACATGAACACACATATATAGAAGAGTAAATTTCATAAATAGCAAGTACAACCATTGGGGCTGACTCTTGCTGTACTGTAAAGTGCCAGTATTTTGTCTATGATGAATTAACCCATCATTTAGAAATTGGGAACAGCCTTAAGTCCTTCCCTTTCTTAAGTATTAAAGTTGGTGTAGACTTATATCGGCATCAAAATTTAAGCTAATAAGCATTACCTTTTACTGGAGTTTACAATCTAGCTTCAAGTCTTAATAACAGTTACTCCAACCTAGCATTAATTTCGATGCACATCCAATGCATTTTAATAGTAAGAATAGAGAAACTTGTGCAGAAGAAGGAATTTATAGCATGTCCCCAGGCTTTGTAAATAAGGGAACTGGAACATTGGATCTCCTGCATAGTTTATATATCAGAAGGAACACAAAAAACTCAGTTTTATATTTACTATTGTTAAAGTTATTATTAAAGAGATGTGCCTTTTGGTGTTTACAATATGAAAAAACTATCATATCAATTTCTTTTAATGAGAATTATTACTGCATAACTACTTTTAATGCAGATACAACATAGAGGTCCTAAAAAGGATTGCTTGAAACCTATCTGGTGAAATTATTTATTTTTTTTGGCAATTTTGTATAATTTATTATAATAATTTTAATGAGATTTAAGAGATGAACCTGATTTCTTTTAAATGGAATCCAATCACAAAATTTGTCATTAAATTTTAATATATTATTACTACTATTAATACATTTGAGTTTCACAGAAAGTAATAACTTCAGGGATACTAAACATAATATTAAGCATAATAAAGTGCTACTTTAAGTAATTAATTTTTTTGTTTAAAAAGTATCATATGTTTGCACGTTTACAAAGTTTAAAACCCTAAAAGCTGTCTACTCCAAGTTTATAACAGCTATCCTCACAGTTCCAAGATGCATCAAAAATACTGCCTTATAGTTAGATACAGGTTTAGTTTATGTGGGTGCCAGAGCCTGGTTATCACATTAATTTCTGGTTAATTTTTTTTTCCCCGTGGGTCTGCCTATTTTAAATTAACCTGTCTAACAAGAGCTAATAGCAAACTCCAGTCTTCAGTTCTCTCTTCAGAGAGTATATGCCAATTAAGGTTTGAAAACGCCAAGAGTCATCTTAAGCAGTGTATCTGGGATATTGATTTCCAAACCAGTCTCAGCCTGGTATCCAACCCCACAGTTCACAGATTTTTCTCAAGTGGGCATGTGCCATCATCTTCTCTCTCCTGAATTCTAATTCTGAAATTTTACTGGGCCTTCACCTTGGCCAGCTACCCTCCACAATTCTGTAGATGTTTATAAAAACATCCCCCTTCAGCAGCATTGATGCCCACGTGGCGATGGCTCTGTGGAATAAGTGGGCATGTGCCATCATCTTCTCTCTCCTGAATTCTAATTCTGAAATTTTACTGGGCCTTCACCTTGGCCAGCTACCCTCCACAATTCTGTAGATGTTTATAAAAACATCCCCCTTCAGCAGCATTGATGCCCACGTGGCGATGGCTCTGTGGAATCCCTAAGCCACCTGCTTCATTGTTGCTCTCTTCACAGGGAATCTCAGAAGGCATATATCGATCCCATTTTAAAGAACTACCCTGGCAGAGAGCACAATGCTTATCTGTCGCTTCTTCTATCTGACCAGGACTCTGAC